GATCACTCGGAGTGCCGACCGGCCAATAAGAAGTGTCTGATAGTGTTTGTGGCACAGGGAGCATGTCTATACGGTAGGCGCCGTCACTTTCATATATACAGCCAGTCTATAAATGCGTTACACATTTCATTTCAATTATAAAACTCTTGTTTTTCCCTTTCGTATTACAAATGAAATAATTATATTTTACGTCATTTAAAAGTCTACCCAATCAGCCGAAGTCCTCCTATTAATGGAAGTAGTTTTGTTAGGTCTTCAGATAAATAGTGTCCACAATCAGTATGAGACTCGTGTCCATCAATTAGTCCACTATATTCTGTTTTTATGACATCCCAGTCCGTCAGACCTACGCTATTGTTATTAGTTATAAAATACTTTCTTTGCTATTAAGACAATCCATTATTGCATTCAACAAGAAGTGCCATAAATGGTATATTTGCTGAGAAATATTGCACGCAATTGAATCATCACTTGAATACTGTATTTCATTCATTGGATATTATGTCCTCACAAGACATACATTACAGACTACTGCCTATACACAGAACTTCTATTGCTTTATGACTATTCAATACTAAGTTAATTGTAAAATTAAAGCAAAGCTAATCACTAAAAAGAAATTATATCACTGATGACATTGCTTTATTCTAGCATTAATTTTATTTCTTGAGATCACTCGGAGTACCGACCGGCCAATAAGAAGTGTCTGATAGTGTTTGTGGCACAGGGAGCATGTCTATACGGTAGGCGCCGTCACTTTCATATATACAGCCAGTCTATAAATGCGTTACACATTTTATTTCAATTATAAAACTCTTGTTTTTCCCTTTCGTATTACAAATGAAATAATTATATTTTACGTCATTTAAAAGTCTACCCAATCAGCCGAAGTCCTCCTATTAATGGAAGTAGTCTTCAGATAAATAGTGTCCACAATCAGTATGAGACTCGTGTCCATCAATTAGTCCACTATATTCTGTTTTATGACATCCCAGTCCGTCAGACCTACGCTATTGTTATTAGTTATAAAATACTTTCTTTGCTATTCAGACAATCCATTATTGCATTCAACAAGAAGTGCCATAAATGGTATATTTGCTGAGAAATATTGCACGCAATTGAATACATCACTTGAATACTGTATTTCATTCATTGGATATTATGTCCCCACAAGACATACATTAGACTACTGCCTATACTCAGAACTTCTATTGCTTTATGACTATTCAATACTAAGTTAATTGTAAAATTAAAGCAAAGCTAATCACTAAAAAGAAATTATATCACTGATGACATTGCTTTATTCTAGCATTAATTTTATTTCTTGCCACAATTAGTTTATAATGTCATTTAATTTTGTACACATTAGGCCCACTTAAACAGACTGCATTTCCAATACAGTAGATTAATGCAATAAAAAAGCTATTGGCATTTCAGATGTATTTAATTTGATAAAAACAAAGATATTTATAAAAAATAATTAAATCTATCCGAATGTTGAACTGGCTTAAAAACACATGACTTTATTTAATCCATACATCTAAATACATCAAAATATGATATTATTTGAAACAATGATATCTACATAATTTATTAAGAATTCATTCAAGAATTAATGTGTTTAAAGATGTATTTCTATTATTGGAGTAAATAATAAGCTAAGAATCGACTCTTCATTTAATATACACTTAAGACATACTTTTGCGTCAATTCTTTGTCCAAATTCCGGATCTAAAGAAATATTCCATTAGTTTTAATGTTTTCATAATTCATTCATAAAAAGTTTTTCAAACGACAAACCAATCTATTACTCACAATAATTCCTATATTGAATAAATTAACTTTCAATTACTAATTATTTGTCAATAGTTTTCAGTATTTGATTAATGTTTCATCAATTTTGGAAGTTTTCATAGAATTAAATATTAGTTTTAGGTAGGACATCGTGTGAACTAATAAATTCATTTTAATCCTAAGCTCAAACTATAACAATATATTGCCTATTATTACTTGGTAATTGAGAAATATTATTTGATTTTATTGGAATGAATAGTAAAATTGACTAAAAGTGGTAAAATATATTTAGAAGGAAGTAAGCTTATCAACTGTTAATAAATAAGATTTAATTAGTATACGTGTATTCAAATCCAATTCTTATGTATTGGACAGCATATATTGTATGTGGAATAAATACACTGTATTCATTCAATATTTCTTACAGTAATTTTAAACTTTTGTCAATTTTTTACATACAAACATGAATCACTGACAACAATAGATTTCATTTAGATATTAGTAATGAAATAATATATTTTATATTAAAAATATATAATAATATCTGCTCTGTAAATGTTTAGGAATTGCATCCTACAGAATATTGTGATTCTAGTGGAATTTTATTTTATGATATTCTTGTTAAGCATTAATTATTAAATATACCTATACTACTGGTAATTAAATCTTATTTATTAACTGTTGATAAGCTTATTTTCTACTTAGACAATTTGGAGGTGGTTGAAACTTTGAACTTTATTAGTGTCTTATACTGTAGACTATATTCAAATACCAGTCAAATAGAAATACAAATCAATGTACTTCTGTTTTATTTTTATGAGAATTATATAAAAATTTAATGAATCAAATGTTAAGGTTTTCATTTGAAATGATTGGCGTATAAGTCTATCAAACCAACTCCATAGAGATTTATATAAACAGATAGACTAATGTGATTATTTGAATCAATTTCTAAAGTTTATTTGTCACTATAGGATACCGTATTTACCATAACTTGATAAATATTTGTGGGATTATTTGATTTTTTGTAAATAATTAGGACATTTTAAACATTTCTGTCATTTGAATAACAGTAAACACATTAATATTCAAAATATTAAATATTTATTCAAAATTTAAAATACTCAAATAATAAAAATAGCACAAAAATATTTATAATAGGATATAAATAATCAACTATAGTGTACTAAATGAATAATTTAGATAGTACTAAATTTTTAAATAGTATTAAAAATAAATATTGTAAATTAATTATATACTGGTCATAATTCTTATAAAACTATGTGAAGTAAGAATTGCAGAATATTCTGTAAGCCTTATATGAAAGTAGTAGTGTTTCCCGTAATTTATGAACTCTTGGCTCAAATGCATTCAATGATTGGCTGATATTGAGTCACATTTTTTTGTTTGTCAACCAAGTGTTTGAAAATGAACTTGGTTCAATTGGATTTACAATTAATTAGCATTTTATTGATCAATACATTTCATAATTATTTATATGTCAAACTATTATCCGTACTACAGTACTATACCCGTTAGACATTAGCATGGCAACTACCATCACTATAACCAAGCCTAATAGTCTATATGAGCAGGGTGAGGTTATGTAGGTAACCGGTGACGGGTGGACAGTGACTAGGTTATACATCTTAGTGACCAACGTGATATATCGATGGTGTCGATGGAGTATTTGCTACATAAGCTGAACCGCAATATCGGGAAAAGCAATTCATTGCAGATAATAGTGTTGGCGATCGCTATTCACTCGTGTGTTTCAATTGTTATGATTTATGTTCATTTGGTTTACTATTTTGACACACATTTCAGGTAATGTTATGTTTATATCAATATTTGCATTCATTATAGCCGTACATACAGTATATTGTTTTGTATGAATCAATATCACAATCACATGAATATTGCATTAAATTAATTGTTTGTTTAATTGATGATTGAATGGTGGGTAGAGTATGGGTATGGGTTGAGGTAACTGTGCAAACATACACGAGTGGATACACTATTAGCATATTATGATAGGTGAGGCCTTTTAAGCGACCAAAAGTACAGACAGTTATTTGCTTTTCATTGCTATCACTGCATATGCAAAGTGGAGTGGCCTCTAAACTACTGGCCCCCTATTATATCATTTTAATGTATTTACGGAATATTCCGTATAATTCTATTATTATACTGATTTGAATCAGTTATACAATATATTTATAGCAAACATATTAAAACATATTTACAAATAAATGGATTTTTGATGTTTTGTGTGTTATATTGATATCCAATAGTAAACATCATTCAGAGCACAATCACTCAAATGTCGGCAAAATTGCATTCATTACTAGCGATCAAGAATTGCCACTAAATCTCATTCATAACGATATCATTAAATCTAATAATATCTCAGACATGGGATGGTTTAGTGATCACTCCAAGTGGAAAGTTTCGGTCAACTGTTTCAATAACCACTGGTCCCTATGCTCTCAAGTATTGCATACATTCATCACATCATTATTCATACGATTAATACATTTTTATATTTTCCTCAAATAAACCCAAAGATTTTGTCCACAAAATGCAAAGCAGACAGGAGTCGGGCGATGTATCAGTTCATACCAATCAGACATGATTTCAATTTATATGATATAGGCATGAGTTTGAGGGCCACTGCAGACCAACTTCAGGAACAGGTTGATCACTAAATGACTAATTTGTATACATGACACCATATATTCATACTTGTTTTGTCTATTTTCACGGATAACCAGAGCAATGAAGCCTTCTATGGAATGATAGTCTTAATTAAATTTGAGGACAATTCACAGGAAATCATTCGGTAATTGCTTTCATATTTTATGATAAATATTAATTACAAGTAAATTGAGTTGCTAACAAAATTGTTGAAAACTTTTACCATTTTAATTCACTACAAGTTTGAGTTCATTCACATTCAAAAATTTGTTTTACTATTAATACACTGAATTTGTTATGCAATGCTAATATATTTTTGCTAAAATCAATTCATTCATAAAATTCACTCATTTTGTTCTGATATTATTTCCTGTAATTCAGTCCAATGTTATAATATATTAGTTGTATTGACTCTTAATATAAGCGCAAACACATATCGTTTTTCTGTTAATTTGATCTGGACTATTGTTTTATATTCATTCTGATGTTATCTTTAATTAATATTTCCCTAAAAATTTAATATTAAGTTTCAGTTGGTTAGTAGTTAGAAATGAAGTCATTATTAGACTATTACTTAATTATATGATAAATTTGATACTTTAGATATACACAATATCTTTTGTGGTAATTTTCTTATTGATAATAGTGTAGGAGTTATTTTCCAGTCGTTTAGGTTGTATTAAGTCTAAAAAATAGCTGCCGGATAGTAGACTCAAATATTTATCCATTAGAAGTTATTTGTGAGCTTTGGATTACAATGTAAATCAATTTACTATACTGTACTATCATATACAGTATTTATCAACATTATACCATAACGTATCTTGACATGAAGTCATCCACACACTGAATAATATAATTGGTTTATAATTTCTTATGGAGTATAGTTAGCAATTGTGAATTGATTTCTAGAGAATTTGAACTAAGTCCACTAATAGAATCGATTCTTTACTTAACTTTATGTTTGACTATATAATAAATACTGTAACTTATAAAGAATTTAATATAAAAATGAATTCTATTTCATATTAAAGTGATTTCTATTATACAGTATTACTAAGTATTACCTAATATACAGTATTATATCATTCATTTATAGTTATATTTCTAAAATTAACTTTATAGTGAAGAACCTTCAGTTAAATGAACTCAACAATCAATTATATTTAATAATCGATTGAATGTGTACAAATAATTCTAGTATAAATATAAATAATGTTACAAGCTTAAAAATTTTAAGTTCAAATGATATTTTTGATAACATACTATTATTACAGTATTTCTAAAAAGTTTTGTTTGCTAAACACGAATTAGATCTCATACTTTAGAGGCTAAACTTCTGGAATAATTTTTTCAATCTCTGCTATTAAACTGTACTAGGTTACTGCTTGGGCTAACTCATAAACAATATTGCGGGTCTACTTTCACTTTGGGCTTTTTTACTAAAATCACTAATGATTTACTGTTATCGGTATGTTTTTACCGTATAATGAAAATAGATTGCAATTCACATCAGAAGTGGAATTGTGGACTAAAAGGAAGCATCGATTTCATAACAAATTTAAGAAAAGGATTGAATCGATTACAGTTATGATCACATGTTTTGGTTATTCTGGATCTGTTTCTTTCACTGATATAAGAGTTTCACCAATTGGTATTATTATGTGTTTCTAACAGATTTTATTAAGTTATTTGCTTACTGATTATTTATTGAATACTATACTTATAGCAGAAAATAGTAATATAGAGACAACTGACCGGATCGGTCGTTGGTGTCATAATTCATACAAACCCGTCGATACAAATGTGAACTTAAAATTTGAAAAAATCGTGTTATCTTTAGCCCCAATTCCTAAGTCTCGAGTCAAATCTGACGTTACATTTGGTAATTGAAATAATTATAGATTTAATGAAACTAATTATTATTTTAATTCAATAATTGATACTAATTTCAGTGACACAACTATCGATGGATAGATTGATAGTCTTAGAGCGCAGTTTGCAGTCATGGGTCGGACCCGTCTCTATAGTAATCTTTATTCCCGTTAAGAATCGCGGAGAAGGCATACAAGAGTGGCACAGGTATGGGCGAAATCGAGATAATTGTCTTAAATTAAAACCAATGTGTGTTCAAAATAGGCTTTATATATCAAAAAAGTTACGAAACTTGAATCTAACGAATGAAAGTCATGTGAATCTAGTGTCAGGACTCGAAAGCGATGACTATCCCATCAATTCGTTGAGAAATGTCGCTATAAAACACGTTAAGACAAAGTTTATGTTCATATCTGACGCAGACTTTCAGCCCTGTCCTGACTAATTATTTATTGAATACTATACTTATAGCAGAAAATAGTAATATAGAGACAACTGACCGGATCGGTCGTTGGTGTCATAATTCATACAAACCCGTCGATACAAATGTGAACTTAAAATTTGAAAAAATGGTGTTATCTTTAGCCCCAATTCCTAAGTCTCGAGTCAAATCTGACGTTACATTTGGTAATTGAAATAATTATAGATTCAATGAAACTAATTGTTGTTATTTTAATTGAATAATTGATACTAATTTCAGTGACACAACTATCGATGGATAGATTGATAGTCTTAGAGCGCAGTTTGCAGTCATGGGTCGGACCCGTCTCTATAGTAATCTTTATTCCCGTTAAGAATCGTGAAGAAGGCATACAAGAGTGGCACAGGTATGAGCGAAATCGAGATAATTGTCTTAAATTAAAACCAATGTGTATTCAAAATAGGCTTTATATATCAAAAAAGTTACGAAACTTGAATCTAACGAATGAAAGTCACGTGAATCTAGTGTCAGGACTCGAAAGCGATGACTATCCCATCAATTCGTTGAGAAATGTCGCTATAAAACACGTTAAGACAAAGTTTATGTTCATATCTGACGCAGACTTTCAGCCCTGTCCTGACTTTGGCACCAGATTTATGTCAGTCGTTCACAAACATGACTTCCCTTCGAGAACAGCATTCGTTGTGCCGGCCTTTGAATACATAGAGAGCCCTCAAGTAATGAATTGTTTCACTTAAACCATAGCTTCATACAAATAATTTGGTTTATTATAACTGTTCAGAGAGAAGACCCGATTCCTAAAACAAAAGAGGAATTCATGCAATTAATACACAGAGAGGAGCCAATGGTTCAACCATTCCGTGAGTACTATTCCGCACTTTCTATGCATTTAATGCTTTGACAAATTGCTTGCACTTAAGGTCTGTTGGAGTCGTCAGACGCGCACCGATTGACAAACTATTGGAAATGGTATTACGAAACCAATGCCTACCCAGTGATGGGCTTTCTTGACAAATACGAGCCCTATATAGTCGCCGAGTAATGACGCCAATTATTTTAACTTTTAGCGCAAAACATAATTATTTATTTTGTTTAAAACAAATTTAGAAAAACAAACGATTTTCCGTATTTCGACGAAAGGCTTAAAAACTATGGGATGAATAAAGTCATGCATTCGACTGATCTCTTTGCAAACAAGTAGTCCATTATTAATCTCATTATAAGGCTTTAATGTTAATACTTTATAAAATCTGTTCAATAGTTACAAATTCATAGTTTTGCCGAACGTATGGACCACTCATTTGCCGCACAAGACTTCACAATATTTTGTGACATTCTTACAGAATATAGAAACTAAGCTCAAGAACAGAGCGGTTCGGTTCGAGGTGTTGAGGGATATCATCGAAAAGAATAATATAAAAGTTTATAATTGTAATTAAATTTGTAATTAAGTAATAATAAATTTATAATTATTTATACAAAGACTCGATTAATACAATACAGTGAATGACTCAATGAAGTCAAGTGGCGGCGATTTTGGGTAAACCGAACTCATCGACCAGTTGGCCGTCCTGTCAAACATACCATTCAATTAATTTCACACCAATTGTTGCAATCAATAAATCACTTACACTATTGACACTCTCGGCGCCGGGTTCTCTTGTGGGCACTTTAGGAGTGGACATGTCTTCCAGATATGATGTGTCCGTATCTAAGGCTAACTCATCTCCCAATGCCTCCAATTCTATGCAAAATATGAAACAAATATTGAGTTATTTTTCAAAATCAACACAAACTCAACAACTCATTAATACCGGCTTCGAGCTCGTCCTCATCGACATCGGGAGTGCCGTAACTTCTGCCGAGTGCTTCCTGAACCTCATTGGCCTGTTCTAACATGTCCTCCAACTCGTCCTGCATGTCCTGTAATCACATTCACCACACGTTTAATAACACTTGAATGACGCAAATGGCAATCAAAGGTAACCTCAATCTGATCGATGTTCACTTTCTTGTACTCCCGTTTCATTTCCTTTACGCCCAGTTTCATGGCGTCCACCTATGGGTCATCAAAACAATCAGACAATCAGTATTTGAGACGAGACAAGAGAGAGAGAGAGAGAGAGAGAGAGTTGAACCGTGGTTTTGGTGTCTTTAAGCATTTGTGTGGCATAGTTGGTCTGTTCCATATTGAAGGACTGGTTCATGAGGTTATCCCGCTGTCCCTCATACATCTTGCGCTGCTTCAGCACTCGGAGGGCCTTCTGTTTGATGGCATTCTGTGGATGGGATGACAGCATATCATCACCACTGATACGGGCGCTCACAAGCACTGGCATACCTTAGCGGGTCCGTCCCTCATCTTCTTCATCTGGTCCTTGTATTTGACGAGTTCTGCGTCCAATCGGGCGATCTTCTTGTCGACCGACTCGGCCCTACTGTCCACCTGTGCTGACACACCATCGAGTGAGTGATGGTCTCATTGGCAGTAATGCATACATACATTGGCGATACAGTCGGTGAGGTTAGGTGGGGGCGCCTTAGGTGTACCCCTTCCGAAAAGACGGTTCATTGTCACAGAGATCTACCGCAGGGTTTCACCACAACTACAGATCAGGTGTCACTTGAATGACAAAACAGTGGATGTATTGTGTGTTAATAGCAATGAGTGTATGAAATACTATTAATTGTAATCTTTGTGGTGATCACTGATTATGAGTTGATTTCTATTGTCAAAGCAATCGCTCAACAAATGAGTCAATCGTTGTGTTATTTATGAAACAAATCAGTTGACGACTGAATCTATTGCTCAATACATACATCAATGACGACCACAAGTGAAAGCATTTCACATGAAATACAAACTTTGATGACAGTTTGAGAAGTTTACTAGTTTTGCACAATTTGTCTGATTAGATTCACTTTAATTGCCATTTAGCTGACCACTAATCTAATATATTGTTGTTGTGTTGGAGTTTATTTTTAAACATTTCTGTCAAATGATAATTTAATAGAAATTAATGGTTTATTTGTTACCATTCCTTATAATAATTGCATCTAGGCTATTATAATTCTATATTTCATTTGGAATTGATTTCTAAGATTTTTAATTTTAAAAATCTGATAACCGGCTAAACATTTACTTCATATTTCCAATAATCCAATGTTTTTGTATTACAAAATATTTCCATAATTTGTTAATAAATATTTGAAAACAAAAAACGATTTATACAAAATTATAATTTTCATTTTAATACAATGTTTAATAAAATAGTGACAAAATTAATGCTTATTTTCCCCTAAATTCAAAAACAATTTATTATATACATAAAGGATTTATAATACACAAATCAATCTTATATTCAATTTTGAAAACTATTATAGATTTGAAAAATAATATTTGTATTTAAATAAATCATAAAAGCTATTAAAACAATAAGCCTTAAATCATAGATAGAAAAAATATAACACAAAATACTGCTACACTTTTTGCATTTTAAACCCTAATCTCGTTATATAATCTGAAAATTTTCATTTTTATATCATTTATTTTACTTATTCTCTCAAAGGATTTAAATTAAAAATTCAAATCAATATCTATTCTCATGTCATTCAAGAATTTTCATTAATATCATGTTATGACTTACAAAACATTCACATTTTATTTCTCATTCATTTAAAAAGCGTTAATTAAATTGAATCAATCGATAAATCATTTTGGAAAATGCATATAAAAAAGTATTTCCATTTGTAAGTTAAACCAGAAAGTGGCTACAAATCTCAAATGGGAACACCACCGAGCATTCAAGTGGTTATACGAGTCCATTGAGCCGTATCTCAATGAGTGCAACAAAAAAGACAACTGTCCGGCACTCCATCAATACTACTACTACACAATACTTTCACTCATTATAACCCCTTTATCTACAAATGTGGTTAAAATTACAATAATAAAAAAGAAAAGTAATTTTAGTTGTTTGGTTAATTAAAGTTTAGCTGGCAATTTGTTGAATACACATACAGTATAGTATTATGTACTGTACAGTATTATTATGTACATATGTATAGTATTATGCTCACTTATTTTATACACAATTTGTTTAAAGAGAGTGAGAAAATGGTATTTCATTCATGAATGCAATCAATTCTGGGAACTAATATAAGAAAATATGGAAAATGTATTCCAGGAAAATGAGGTGAAGGGTTATTTTAGTGGCATATAATGGGTCAACATACTGACCACTTGTCACCCACTAATGGACCATTAGTTTGACTTGTCAACTAAATTTGAGTGCAACCTTATTTGATATGTATGCACTTGTATAGTATTAATACAGTATATTATTCTTGATAACAGTAATGGGAGTTCTTATAAAATGAATGCATTATTAAATTCATGAAAGGTGTGTATATTTAGTATATTTGGCGAACAATTAACTCATGAATGATTAGATGAATCCATAAAAAGCGAGAATATGTGACAAAATAGATGTAACCTCTGGTTGTGTTGCAATTTCAATGTACAGCTCATTTGCTCCTAACTTTAGCGAGAAGTGTATGTGTGGTGAGAGAGACACGCAATACCTGTTTAGGGGGAGAGTATGGTATGGGAGAGGGATGGCTCAGATAGGGTGGCAACACATACGCCAATGGTTGCGATTTTGAGGCCAAAACACTGCTTAACAAGCAATACATGCAAAACATAGGCATAAGAGTTGTTGTGTTGGGTTCACAACAAGTCAATAGTGAAGTGAAAGTTAGTTCATATGAATAGTTAGGTTAGGTTTGGGTGTCAGACACCACTCAATACGTACACCACAGACACAACACTATTCATACATAAGTATATCACACGAAGCCATCATATCACTAGACCTACTGTTGTATGGCTTATAGTGATTGTGTGTCCATCACATCCCTATCTCACTGACTACTCGTGAGTGCAAAACAGTGTCACCACTGATCACAAGACATAGACACACACCCATTGATTGGCTAAACAGTGCTCATTAGTGTCGTAACCATTGACTTGTGGACTGAGTGTCGGTGAGACCTTCAGTGCCTTTGCTGTGATGCCATAACAGCCTATTTGATGACTACATCGTCGATCGGATCCACTGGTGGTGTCTTTGTTGTGATGACAGCATATCATATGCATTGATGTCTATTGTCTGACCTGCGTACGCGATTGAGACCTGAGGTAACGTAATCATAACGTAAGCAAACTGTTATGTAAGTGAGTAGCTAACAGGTGAGTTAGTTACGAAAGCACAAAAGTAACTAAACATAAATATAAATAAAAAGTATACATTTGTTATAATAATAATAATAATCATAATCATAATAATAACTGTTATAATAATCATTAATAATCACTCAACAAATGTTAAGACATTTTGTTATATAGTTTTGTTACGCCAATTTCACCCACAATTGAATAGCAATTGTCTAATCTCGTGGTAAAGCACTATAAGATAAGTGATCCGAAGATGTCATCAGGAGGTGACGGCAGCAACGGTGGTAACCACCAGATCCTGCGGATCAACAACAGCGGTGCGAACGACTTGGACGAGCTGTTCAAAGCGGTGTCCAACCCGAAGGACTCGTTCATCCCGCTATCGGTGCCAATGCGTCAGCGCAACCTCCCGGCCTCCTTCTTCAAGCCGCCCGACGGCGCCCACAGCGCCTCCCACTCACGCGAGTCCAGTCTCGACGCCTCCTTCTCGCCCCCTCTCT